AAGTATTAATGCTTCAAACAAGTCTTCTTTCATTGAAGTTCTTTTAGCTGTCATTATCAAGCCTGCATCTCTAAATACATGTTCACTTGCGCCTGACGTTGCTTGAATTTGATAAATATTTTCTAGCAATTTGGCTAAAATTGGAAACTGTCTTTGATTTGCATTCCACCATTTTAGAGAATCTTGGTCCCTAGGAATCTGAGCTATTGCAAGATATTGTTCAACCTCATCATCTCCATTTTCTTTCTCAGATAGTTCCTCTTCATATTGTATTATTTATATTATTTTGTGCTAGTGTAGTTTCTTTATTATCACTAGTAGCCATTTTTAGAAGAGTTAAAAGCTTAAAAATAACAATTAAGCTATAAACTATTATTAAACCTGGGATATCCGAAAGTATAATCCGGATAATCCTATATAAAAAAAATCAATATTCGGATACTCTATAAAAACAATCCGGATATATAGGCTAATAGGATAAATCCTAGAGTATTCTAGTTACATTACCGTTAAGGAAAGCTCTAGGTCTCTTAGGCAGTGCTATACGGTAATGCCTTAAGAGAGTTGGCTAGCATTAGTCATCTGAGGTATGTCATATTTTTATAAATTGTTTACACACGAGTATTTTGAATAATATAGTTTTTTTTAACGAAAATGAAAAATAAAATGTAAATTATTTAATTATTTATAATAATGATAAAAAAATTAATTTTAATTCGACTAGTTTATAATTTGGTTAATCCATCATTAAAAGCCAATCCTTTTATAGAACTCAACTCAAAGAGCGAATAATATACCATGCTTTCTTTTGGCTAGTTTAATAAAATGCTTTCATCCAGAAATACAGTTTATATAAAATTTTATTAACCACGAATACAAGTAGGCTTATGACCTGGATATTTGTGTAAGCAACTATCAATAAAATAAATTTATGTCAAATTTTAATTTAAGCATAAATATTTCTTTATTAAAAAATGTAATACTTACATCATACAAAATATACATTTACATTCACATTTCATGGTATCACATCCGTTTACTTTCTCAATATATATATTACATCCAGGACATCTTTTTGTATTTGAAAGATAAGCTTTTGTAGCTGAGTCTGATCTTGATATACTTTTTTCATATTGTTCACAAGTTTGATCTTCATGCCAGATAACCTCATGAACATAACACGATTTCGCGCCACATCCTTCACAAATAAAAAGCGGATCTAAAGAAGTTAAAGAGAATTTTATTAGAATTTTATTAATGAGAAGAAAATTGCGACTCCCTAAAAAGTACCTTTTCCTTCATGAACTTGTCCACTTCCACAAAAGGCCTGACACCATCTAAATTCTGGGATCTTTTGTATTGCGTGTTTATAAGAAAGTTCATCATATCTAAAAGAAAAAAAGTAAATATTATTACGTACTGTATAAATAATGATACCTTTACAATAATAAGTTAAAAAACCTTTCAAATATTTCTTTTGTTGCAATATTTAATACATCATTCCTATCCATTGATTTATTACATCCTGGTGTAGGACAGGTGATTTCAATAGATTGTTTTTCATTAATACTCTTTTCAATGATTTTATTAACACATTCTACGCAAATGACGATTTTATGAGTACATTTTGAAGTTATTTTACAGTAATTTCTATTCTCCGTTTCACAACAAAATAAACATTCATAGAGGTCCATAATTTATTTAGTATCACTTTATCAGAAATTTTATTTAAAAAAAAAAAAAGAAACCAACTAGCTTTTATAATGGTTTGAGATGTCAATTTAATCCATTTATAGTTTAACATCTTTTGGGTGTTTATATTAGATACGCAAATTATTATTATGTCATTTATTCTTTATCTCCTCTATTGATAATAAAAAATGTTTATCTTTGTTAAATTCAGGCTTAGAGCAAGAATTGAAGTTAATTCTTATGATACGATTCTACAAGTCAAAAATAAAATCAAAGCACTCCATGATATTGATGTAAACAAACAATTATTACACCTTGGAAGCCAAAGACTTGAGAATGAAAGGACTATAAACGATTATAACATTAAAGAAAATGATCAAATTAGACTCACTCTTATCGTTACTGGTGGCATTCAAATATTTGTTGAAGATTTAGACGGAAGAACAACTTCTCTTCAAGTGCAGTCTTCATATACCATTAAAAAAGTTAAAGAATTATATTATGAAAGAAATGGATTAGAAGTAGGTAAACAAAGATATATCTTTGGAGGTCAACCACTCTTAGATGACAGAACACTGTCGAGTTATAATATTAAGACAAGAAATACCATAAATCTTGTTTATAGATTAGTTGGTGGTATTTTTTAATTGTCATAGCATAAATCAATCACTTTATTTAGGTTTTAGGAGACAATTAAGATAACTTTATGTAATTAATTATGTATTAACTGTAATATAATAAAGTGATGCATGGTTCTTCTTTTTATATTTTGTTACAATTTTTGCTTTTAAACTGTAAAATTTTATGAATATTAGAAAAATCACGTGTTTAAACATCAAAATGGTTTGATACAGTAAAAATTAGTCACACTTTAACGTACTGTACGTAGAAGGTTCTAGCAAATAATTGCGCTTGTGTATACAAATTTACGTCATTACAATGTTGACCCCGTTCCTTTGCAACACCAGAAATTATTTAAAAAAATTTGAAGGTATAGCAATGTATAATTTTGTTAAATTGAGAAACAAAGAACTTTAACTGGAAAGAAATATTTGAATTGTAAGAATAATATCCCGAAAATCCTTTTTAAGGGTGGTTTGATTTTTCAAGTTGGATTTTTTGTGCCATATTCCTATTTTTACGTTATATGGCCATAAATAAAATGAGTTTTTATAAAATTATGTATAATTCTTTTTTTCAATAAATGACTAGGTGTAATAACAAATAAACAAAGAACTAGATTGGCTATTATTGGAAATTATCTACAGTAAATAGAATGGTCATGTTTTAGGATCTAGCACGTCGGTAGTCTTCATGGTCTTCAAGTCAATAAATAATCTAAAGTTTGTTATTTTTATAATTATTTAAACTAATAATCATGTGTTAATTTTCTTCATAATAGTGTATGTACCTTTATTTATATAGAAAAAATTTTTGATAGCAAACGAGATTGAAATTTATATAGAAGAGAAAAAAGTATATTTCCGATATATAATTTACATAATATTAGGACAAGATCAGTGTTTTTTTTTTTTTGCACAGTTTATTTGTTTCCCAATGAAAAAAAAAAAAGTTCAAAGAGGTTTGATTTCTTTTTTAATTTCCTAGTCAATTGACCTCTAAATTACGTAGCATTACTGAAATAAATCTTGTGTCATTACATTAGATTATTAAATCTCTTTATTAAATTATTGTATTATATAATTTAAGACAAAATTCTTTAATTATACGGGTAGTTAATTATATATTTTGAAAAACAAAAAAAAATTGAGTTTCTTAACATTACGGTTATTGTCCGAAATCTTCACTTTTCAATATATTTTCTGGAACCTTCAACAAATATCTACCAATAATTATAAAGAAAATGTTTATTTACGTCAAGATCTCGATACAATACATTTGTATATTACTATAAGATTGGAATCTAATTAATATTTTACACAATAATATTTAAAGATTTTTAATTATTCATTTTCAAGTCCTTAATTTAATCTTCATTAAACAAAGTTACTTTCATTTTGTGAACATCACTTAATGCAAATTCGTACAATCCAATAACTATGGTGATGGGATAACACTATAACCTGTGTCAGAAGGATTTAAAAAGCATTTGCTGTTTATAAATTATAAGCATTAAAAAAAAATCCAACTAAAAAATAAACTTATTTTAATAAATTTTTTTAATGATAGTATTTCACTTCTTTCTATATGGTAATTACAATAATTCTATATCTTAATTTTATAACCGGACAATTAAATTATATAATGCTGATTAGGAAGAAATGAATTTCTTTTTTTATTGTAAGGTAATTATTATAATTTCAAAATATTAATATATTTACATATTTTATTTACTGTAGTTCCTCCTTTGCTCTTGTAGATATTTCATCTTTTGCTTTCAATAATCATAGGCCAGACCCAGTTATACAAACAAATGCTCCTGTAAATAAATAACTTAAAGTTGATAAACATTGAACCACTACGGAGAAAAATGGTCTTGCCCTTCTTTTAGTTACAATTATACATATAAACATGTTAAAATTTAAATATACGTAATATACGTCTAGAAATAAATGGAATAAGAGTTAGTACAATATTATAGTTATGTTGGCTATTTACAAATGTAAGAAAATATTGTAACTTAACGCGTTTTTTTTTTGCCAAAATATACGATAAAAAAAGTACAAATGTAATAATAAGTCACAATAAAAATTTTAAATAAAAATTACTTGTAATATGGTCCTAGTTCACGAAATTTTACGGAAAAAAAGACAACTTCTTTTTTAAAAAAAAATTTTTTTAACGTCGGAAAGGTAGGTAGGTAGCACAACGTCATACGAGTCGATAAACAAATAACAAAATCATGATTAAAATAATACATGACCTAAAATTATTTTTAGAAGCGGGGCCAGGATGACTGCTCAATTTACAGTTATAAATTAACTGTGCATTAATAACATTTAAAAATTACATTTATTTGCTTTGGCATATTAAATATAGCGAATAGTTATATTACATTATATTACATGATTATATAATTATTAAAGTTACAATCAAGATTAAAATTAGATAATGAACAATATTAATTGCATATAATATTTCAATAAATGGGATAATTCAGATTCCTCTTGATGAAAAAACTTCTTATCAGCTATAATTGATTTTCCAAAGTCAATAAAAAATATATTGTCTTCGTCATTAACTAAGATATTTTCTTCTCGAATATTGTTGTGAAAATGTTGTGACTATGAATTACTTTTAATGTCCTGAGAGCCTGTTTCTTTTTGCCATTTCTCTATCTTATGGAAACTCAACGCAGTACCAACAATTGTCATACCTATAACATAGCCTATTCCACCCTTTTAGTAAGACGTTGGTATAATTCGATTTCATTTTTCATTTTATAAAAGAATTGTCTATTCTTAGGTATAAATGTAACAGATATCATGTGGTAAAGAAGTCCAATTTTGGATGAGTAAATTTTTAATAATTGATTTAGATGATGTGGGTAAGGTTGACAAATATGAATTAATGAGTTTATTAAATTTGTCTGTAACAAAGTTTTCTATTTGATTTAATATACGTGTTATTAGCAAAAAGAAAATAAGGGATGTGAAATTTATGGTCTGATGGTTTGGTATCATTTTGGAATTGTATTACAAATGAGTTATAGATTTAAGAAATAATTCGAACTTATTGGTTGATAATTGAGTTTAGTTTCTGTATCTTGAAAATACAGTGATTATATTTTTTGATTGTTTTTTGTAAAATTTAGGATTGAAGACTCTGTAATTTTGAAATTAGAAATAAATTAAGCATCTGAGGTCATTGAATAATTTATTGGCATGAATAACCTTTTTTGGTGAGTGACACAAGCACGTCTATGGCAAATCAAACTTACTTCAGTTTATGTTTGCATGGCGCATAAATTTTGAAAATAGAAGTAGTAAAAGTAATATAATTCTTCTAAGTTATAATCAAATAATTTAATATCACTTTCTGGATTTTCTAAATTTTCTGGATTTATCAATAAACTATTCAAACTTTGAATTTTACTTAAATCCAAAACCATAGTATTTATATCTTCAGTTTCAATTTCATTATCATCATTAAGACTTATTTTCTATTTCATAATTTCTAAAATTATCATCATATTCTTTTTCAATTTTTGTTTTATTTTCACTTCCTATTTTTCCATCTTTTTTTCTTTTAATTATATATTCATTTAATTTTTCTCTTACATCTTTTTCATCATTTTCATTAAACAAATCCAACTGAATCCTTAACTTTCTATATTCAAATTTCATATCTTGTATATCCCTATATTAGAAATCTTTGTATTTCTTCTTCTCTAACTACTGCTCCTATTTCCTCTTTTTTTCTTAATAGTAATTGAACTATTTTTTCTATATCCTCATCATTTGCCCTATCTTGCTCATTATTTATTTTATTTTCTTTATCTCTTAATTCTTTAAAGTACTTTCTTAATGCTTTCTGTTGTAATTATAATTTTTCTTTCCATTATTCTCACAATATCTTTTAATGACTCTTTTCTTTATTATTTCATCTCTTGAAAATGCATATGCCATTATTCTTATAACTGTACTTTCTGATACATTTCCATTATACATGTGGTCGAAACTCAATAATTTCGGCCTAATTTCAGTATTCGGCTTTCGGCCAATCATTCCGAAACGAAACTCCAGCCGAAAATTGAAGATCAAGGTCGAAATCAGAAATTAGGTCGAAATACGAAAATCTGGACGAAACCTTTTTAGTATAGGCACAAATAAGGGTCAGCATAAATTTTTTTTAAAAATATTTTTTTTACTGGTTTTATTGTTGTCCAGTAATTTTTTTTGCTTAGGGGTACGATTAATGCTCCTTTTATTTTTATCGTTTTTTTTTCTTGGACGTAATTAACATTGATTATTTTTTCTTTTAGTGATGGCTTCTTGGAGTTTCTTAAGAACTAAACAGTAAATTATTTTTCTGTCTTTAAACTTCTTGTTTAGGGACGCAATTAACGCTCCTTCTTAAATTAGTTTTCTTTAGACGTGGTTTTTTGGGTTTTCTGATGACTAAGGTAATCTTTTTCAGTTTTTATTTTCATTGTCTTTTTAGGGATGTAATTAACGTTCCTTTATTTTTACTTTTTTGTTATTCCTTTTTATTCATTTTTTCTTTAGTGATTACTTTTTGAATTTTAATGTGGACTTATAGTACATTTCTAAATGACAAGGAAATGAAAAAATATTTTTTTTTGTTATTTTTAAGAGATTCTCGAAATTTTCATAAATATCCGGATTATATGTTTTATAAGAAATTTTATTTATTGAGTATGTGATCTATTGAATACAATAATAAAAAAAGTAAATGATTTTCTTTTGTTTTTCATGACTATTTTTTAGTTTCATTAACTTTTTGAACCTTGGAAAAATTTCTTATTAACTATGGAACTATGGAAGGAATGTTTTTAAATGATAATTTATATACATTAATGTATGATATTAATAATTATAATTTTTAAGGATTGTTGTAACCAAAAATACTTGAATTTTAATAAATAAAAACCTAAAACTAGAAGTAATCTTCAAAACTAACTTATTACAGAAATCATTTCCAAACCATTTATAAATGGTGCAAAAATAAAATTTGTGATATTGTTATTTGTTGATCTTTCGTACGCTTAAAAAGTTTGTGTTGCAAACATTTTTGTGTTTTTTTTTCTTTATTCTTTATTCTTTATTCTTTTTTTTTAAAAAAAATTTATTCTTACATAAAAATTTAAAAAGATACTTTTCAAGATGTCTAACCGTTTGGAAATTATTGATAAAGTTGTACCATATGATACTAATATTACCGGTTATAAAAAATGTATGAGTTGTAAAGAATCTCCCAAGATATTTCCAAACGAGCCTAGTCGACGTGAATACCAAGAAATGACTGGAATTTGTCCCTGTTGTTGGGAAATATCACTTCTTGGACCTGATGATGGGGAGGAAGAGATTGAACATGCTAAAAAGGTGCTACTTTTCTACGGTCGCAAGTTTATATTGCAGGATCAGCCACCGCACTCATGGCAATGTCTTAAATGTAAAAAAATCGTCCAAGGTGAAGAAGTTAAGAGACCGCACATATGCGCAACTGAACAAACTGAGGTAACTGGGGTAACTGAAGGGGTATGCAAAATATGCATGAATAGCTGTAATATGAAATGCAGTAAATGTAAATCAGTGTACTATTGTAGCAAGGATTGTCAGAAGAAGGACTGGCCAAAGCACAAAAGAGAATGCGTTAGTAACATAAATACTTAGTATTAGTATTATTCTTTTTGTTTAATTTATTAAACTATTGTATTTATTATGTAATTTTATTTTTTGAGCAATAAAGATTTCAAGAATCCAATATCTTTTTAAGCGGAAGCGTTCCAGTTAAATTTGGATGAACTAGTGCTAATCTCTATTATCTTCAAATACGACTTCACAACTTAATAATTCAGGGCTTAACAAAAAAAAATGAAATTTGATATATAAAATAATTTCAATACCAGAAATTTTTAATGATTATTCCGTCATTTAGGTTCGTAATAATACGTGTGCTTTTTTTTTTTGACGGATTAACATATCTGACATATCTTTTTTTCGTTAGTAAGTTTGACAGTAAAAAATTTATACAAATTAGATCACGCAATTTACGCAATTTTATTCGCAAAATTTCAACGTTGTGCGGCAATATAGTCCTAAAACCCGGATCCGGGTCCATGAATTTTTGCCCAAAATTCAACCGTACACGAGTCACCCGACCAATGCAGGCCTCTATGCGTCAATAATAAACAGTGATTAAAAGTTAACCATGTACTATATGTAATAGCAATAATTATAGATTATTTTATTACTTTGCGGATGGAATTTTTGAAACTGGAAAAATAGCTACTTTCGCATGAACACTCGTTAGTCGTTACAATTTGATTTACTATGTAAAAGAGTATATCTACATTTACTCTATAGTCAGTTTGAGTAATAAACGAATAACGAAATAATTAATAAAAAGCACAATAATATCTCATTTTAAATTAGCACATTTGTATACTCGCATTTTTCAATGTGTTTTGAAAGATTATCCGTAAAAGGATTAAATCGAGATGTATAAATAGCTTGTGGACGAGATGACTTAATAATTCAATAGATAATGAATTTAATTTCTATTTTCTTTTGCTTTAAAATTTTTTTAATTTCCTTATCTCTAATATAAAAATCAGTCGAGGTACAAATCGAATCTTTGAATAGATCAAACATTCTTTTAATTCAGCAACAATGTAACATTTGGTCTATTATCTGTATTTGAATCCCAATGCTTTGTCATTAAAACTGATGTATATTTCTCATTTACTTCAGGTCTAATTCCGTGATCTATATCTAGTGCAAGATATTCATCATGCACGCAATTGGTAAAAGATTAAATTGCAACAAAATACATGATGCACGCCTGCTGCTTATGCCTCTTAACACTTCAGGAGGTTACATATGACATAACGTCATAAACTTTTGCTTCGCTAAATTTATCAGCCTTTTTACGTAACATATAATCTTTTGTCGAGATATTCCATTTATTATAATGTCAATATACGTGTTAGAATATGATTTAACCTATTAGAATGAAAGTAAGAGTATTTTATTAATAAATCAAAAGAAGTTTTTAAATTCTAAAAAAAGTTTAAAAGTTTATACCTCATTAAAAAATACGCTGTTAATATTTTGAGATATGTAAGATTTCAAAGAAAACTTATTATTCTGATCTCACGAATACAAATTTCACACACCTTTCACACCTTTTTATCCTCATCATAATATAACAAGCCATCTTTCTATTTTTTTTTATCATTTAGCTTACATAATAAAATAAGGTCACTCTTCTTGTTCTTGGAATCGTAAATTTTCTCAATCTTCTTTTAAAAGATAAAAACTACTAATAACGTCATTAAACTTATATTTTCCAAACTTTTGGCAGATCAAAAACTAAATTGATAAGCGCAGTTGAACATAATACACTCATTGCCTTTATTAATCTAACTAATTAAGTATTTAATTAATTAATTTACTAACCATTACACTATGATGGCGCAGCAATTTAACGGGAATTTTAGAAAAATTATGGATATGCCCTATAAAAAAAATTCTGGAAAAAACTCCGATAAATGATCATATTTCTAGATTTATTCGAAGAAACTCAGACACGCGATCATTTTCCTGACAAATTTTTTATAGGGATGTAGTATTTAACCTGTTTCTAATCCCAATGTAGGCCATTGCAGAATTTTTCTCGGATATTGGAGTCGTTCGCAACAACTTGAAGTCTTTTTTAGTTTTTAATTAATTAATTATTGCTGATGATAAACTTTAACCTTTTTTTTAACTTTTTTTACTAGGTTTTATACTTGAAATTTTTTTTTTTCGACATTAACAATTATATTATGCAGTAATTAGGACCCCAAAATATAATAAAAAGAGGTTCGAGTTTGCGACTTTGCGTACAACCAAAAAAAAATCATGAAATCTTTCCTTTTATAGCTAATGCCTGGTACAAAGCTATTACCTTTTTTGGATGTTGTCCGAAATTATCATAATCCCGGCCTTGTAAAAATGCGTACAGCTAATAGTAAATTGTTTTTAGCTGCCTCTGACTTTTTTAAAACATTGTGTTACTTATAGTATTTTAATAATTTTAAACAATGAATTGACAAATTTGTTCCGCAAATAATGCTACAGGATTTTAATATGATTTGCATTTTATGATTATTTTAATAGACTAATACAATTAGATTTTAATTGTGTAACGTATAATATTATGTATACATTACCTGTGACGATCTTGTTACATCTACGTTGTACTAATTATATATAATCAAGATCTATAGTTTATCATTACGTCATATTTCCTTTTTAGCAAATTTAGCGTCTTTCTTCACGCCATTTAAATTGAGGAGTCTTTTTTCTCAAAAATTAATATTCAATGGAATTTCTTACAAAAAATTCTCTAGACCTAGACAGTGGAAAGAAAATTATTGCAAAAAATTTTGCAAATTGGACCAGTGGGAATGAAATGATTGATAATATCATTCAAAAAAAGCAATTAAATTACAATGACAGTGAATCTGGATGTGGCGCAGTATTTGAATGGATACCGTATAGTGAACTTTTTGATATTAAAAAAATAGGAAATAACAGTTTAGCCACAGCAATATGGAAAGAAGGTTCATTGCATTATTGTGAAAATGAATGGATAAGAATATCATATGAAAAGGTTGTATTAAGGTTTTTATATGACTCTCGATATATCCTTGAATTTATAAATAAGGTATTAAATCTTTCTATGAATTTTAATTAGAATTTTATTATATATATGTTAATTTTTTTTTTTTTTTGTATTTTTAGGCCATATCATATACTGATAAAAAATATGGATTATCTCAAAATCCAGGCACAAATGAATATATTTTTGTTTTCCCCCAAGATTATCTTAGACTGTGTTGTGAAAAATGCGGTAAAGAATATAAAGATAGACAGAATAAATGGTGTAAAGCATGCCAAATAAATTATTTAAAAAATAATTTTACAAACTGGACAAGTGGAAATGAAAAAATTGATGATTTCATTCAAAAAATGCAATTAAAAATTAATTACCCTTGTGATACTCTATTTGAATGGATACTATATAATGAGTTCATTAATGTTAAAGAAGTAGGAAGCGATTGTTTGAATACAGCAACATGGAAGGATGGTCCATTATATTATGACACTTATGAAAAGGAATGGATAAAAGAAACATATAAAAAAGTTTGTTTAAAATATCTACATAACTTGCGAGATATTACTGACGAAGTTATCAATAAGGTATAAATAAACTGTTTATTGATTAAAGTATTAGTACAATATTGATTTATTTTATTTTGATTTTTTGCTAGATTGAATCATATTTACATGGTTATGGTGTTCAAAGTTATGGAATATCTCAAAATCCAGACACAAAAGATTATATTTTAGTTTTTTCCCAAGATTATCTTAAAGAATACTGTAAAAAATGTGGTAATAATTATGGAATTAGATTGGATAAATGGTGTAAACCATGTCATATAAATTACCTAAAAAATAATTTTACAAACCGGACTAGCGGAAATGATAAAATTGATGGCCTCATTCAAGAAATGCGATTAAAAATTAATAAACCTGATGATACTATATTTGAATGGATACCATATAATGAGTTTATCAATGTTAAAGAAATAGGAAATGATTGTTTGACTATAGCAATAAGTAAAAAGGAAGGTCCATGCTACTATGACACTGGCGAGGCAAGAATATCATACCAAATAGTTTGTTTAAGATATCTGCATAACTCACGAGATATTACTGATGAAGTTATCAATAAGGTATAAAAATTAGTTAATTGATTAAAGTATTAGTACAATATTGATTATTTTATTTTTATATTTTGATAGATTGAATCATATTTATTTGGTCATCGAAGTTATGGAATATCTCAAAACCCGGACACAAAAGATTATATTTTAGTTTTTTCCCAAAATTATCTTAAAGAATATTGTAAAAAATGTGGTAATAAAAATGAAAGAAGGATGTGTATTAATCTATCATGTTTAAAAGATAATATCGATGATTTTAATATCGATAATTTTAATGAGTGGACTAGTGGAAATGAGAAAATTGATAATTTTATTCAAAAGATTCAATTAAAAATTAATGAATCTTATGGTCTTCTATTTGAATGGGTACCATATGATAGATTTGTTGATATTAGAGAAATAAGAATGGGTGACTTTGCCACGGCTATATGGAAAGATGGTCCATTATATTACAGAAATTCCAAAAAAATAATATCAAATGTAAATGTATTTTTAAAATATCTACATAATCCTCAAAATATTAATAATGAATTTTTAAATAAGGTATGAGTTTTTCTATTAGTTTAATTTAATTATTAACAACTATTAATATAACGAATCATTATATTTAACAGATTACATATTTAATGAAAAATAGTTATGGAATATCTCAAAATCCAAATACAAAAGAATACATCTTAGTTTATAAAATTGGATATCACTGTGAAAACTGTGGTGAAAAATATAATAATGCATTTGAAATAGATAATAAAAGCTGTATGTCATGTCAAACAAATCATGAAAATAGCAAAATTAGTAATTTAATCCAAGAGATGAAATTAAATATTGATCATAACTCCATTTACTCTAATATGATATTTGAATGGATACCATATAATCAGTTTAAAGATGTTGACGAAATAGGTAAAGGTGGTTTTTCTACAGTATATTCAGCAATATGGAAAGATGGTTTATTATATTATAGTAAAGAAGGTTGGAAAAGAAAATTAAATACAAGAGTTGCTTTAAAATGTTTACACAATTCACAAAATTTCATTGATGAGTTTATAAATGAGGTAATAATTTCTTTATAATTTTTTAGCAAAAAATTTATATAACAATTATTGACTAATATTATTTAATAGGTTAAAGCATATCCGAATCAAAATATAAAAAATATCCTCAAAATATATGGAATATCTCAAAATCCAAATACAAAAGATTACATTATGGTTCTTGAATATGCAGAAGGTGGAAATTTTAATAATTATTTAGATAAAAACTATGAAAATTTTGATTGGTTGAGTGGATTAAAAGTATTAACTAACGTTATTAAGGGTCTTAGTGAAATTCATCAAAAACAGATGGTTCATCGGGATTTTCATGTAGGAAATATATTATTTATAAGATATTCAACCTACTCATCTCGTCACAATATTCACAAAGATAATGATGACTATGATGCATGTATTTCTGATATGGGATTATGTAAAAAAATTGATGATATTAATGAAACAAGTATTTATGGAGTTATGCCTTACGTAGCTCCTGAAGTATTAAAAGGAAAAACTTATACTCAAGCAGCAGATATATATAGCTTTGGTATGATTATGTATTTTGTAGCAACTGGAAAACAACCTTTTGTTGATTGTGCTCATGATGGAGTTTTAGCACTAAGTATATGTAACGGGATTAGACCTGAAATAAATGAAAAAATTATACCAAAATGTTATACTGATTTAATGAAAAGATGTTGGGATTTAAATCCAGACAATAGGCCTAATTCTATTGAAATAAAAGAATTGATTGGTTTATATCGTCGAAATCTTGAGCAATTTGATGATACACAAGAATATAGGAAAGAAAATCTTTTATCAATTAAAAATAACCAATTTACTACTCACAAACAAGCTATATATACATCTCGATTACTTAACCCTTATACAAATAATCTTTCGAAATATGATACCGTAGAAATTACTGATTTTACAAAGTAATTGTATTTTTATATTATGTTCTTTTTTTTGTTTGTTTATTCTCATTCTTATTTTGCATTGGTAGTTTATAAGCTTTAATCTTTTACAAATGAATGATTTAAAATTACAAATGTAAGTTATTTTAACTAAGCTTATAGCATATCTTGACAGTTTATCGACCAAAACTTACTAAGCTTAATTTTTCATTAAATATTTATAATAATATTCTACTTACCGGATTAGGTTATTAAATAAATATTACAGTAAATTCACATATTGGTTCGATTTCTTCTTTTATTAATTTTTGGATTGATGTTTGTGATTTTTTTTGGAACCCTTTTATGTTTACTTCTTATTTAATAGAAATACATCGTATTGATTGATATACTTATTGTTGTATTAGATGGTATGCATTAATTAGTTAAATAAAATAGTAGGTTGTTTCTTTCATGGATTTTGTATTTGTTTATAAATTTTATTTTGAAATACAGTACCTTAAAATATTTCTGATATGAAGCATGAAAATAATCTTATTTATCGTATTATTTGTGAACGAATAAGAAGAATCTTATCTGGTATGCTATTATTAGGGGATTTTTACTCATTAAACGTTCAAGAAAATTCGGCATTTATAATTTTGACTGGTTTGAAAAAATTGGAGAAAATTCACTGTTAAGAGAGAAAATTAAACCGGATTTAAATTCATCCAGCTCGGATGGCTCGGATGAAAAATCAATCCGGTTTTATTTTCTCTTTTTTTTTTGTATTAAATAGTAATTTTTTAAATTACTAGATTGTACATGATTAAAAATAAATAATTTAACGTTGAATTTAAAATGTTCAAAGTATAGATCGCAGGCATCCGAACAATTCAAGAGTTCATTTCATGCATGAATGTGATGGAGATTGTAATAATGATAAACATGTTTTCACAAATCGGTACTATTTGAAAAATATGTATTATTATTTAGCAGTATAATAATAAAATTTATTAATATTTTAAAAATATTAATAATATTTTATAAAATTGTAAAATTGAATAATTGTGATGATATATTTTATAATATCTTGGTAAGTATTGGTTCTGACATGGTTTTCAGAATGATTTTTATTATGTGAAATATCTTTACAATCTTATTAAAATACAGATTTTATGCTCTTTTATGATATTATATAAGCATTGCATGACATCTTGAAAAATTTGCATTGCCTAGTTACTCCGAAAAAAAATTTTTTTTTTTTATTTATTGTCCGAACTTTTTTCGTGGTCGTTACAATTTTTTTTTTTTTTTTTTTTTTTCCGCTTAAAATTATCAGTAATTATTTCGAATATTTTGAACTCTAATTCTTTCTTTGTTAAATCCTTTTCAAATTTTTCGTATTTCAATTTCCATTAAGATGGAATTTCATTCTTTGGTCGAGAACTGCTTGTGTTTTGTCTATCTTTTTTGTGAATCAAAATTTTATTTTCCATCTCTTATTAAATGTTTTTTAATAAAAAGATGGTAATCTGCTGTATTTTTGTGTAAAAAGACTATACGTTTAACTTTTTTATCATATTGTTCTGTCAATTATTTCATCCTTTAACCATATTTTCTCTTTTAAAAAAAAATTGATCATGTTAGTGAACTAAAAATCTCATTTAAGAATGAGTAATTTGCCTAAATATAAAAAGAGTGAAAAGAATTGTCATATTTATTTAAGGTCTAAACCAAATTTTTTATTACTGTTAGTTGTAAATAAATACATTAAAAATGAATAATTAATAAGTAAAAAAAAAAAGATTAAATAAAAAAACTGAAAATAAAATATTTAAAGAAAAATTTTTAAAAAAAAACCGAAAAATAAAACCAACTATATATATATATAGTAAAAAATTTTTTAAGAAAAATAATATAAATTTCAGATTTAATAAGAACCGAAAAAAAGGAACCTAATAATAGAATAAAAAAAAAAGGTACCGTATAACGGGGGCCACAGTACCCCGGGTATGATACAGATTTCAGAGGTTTTGACCTTATACCCCCCACCATTGTGTGAGTTTTTATTATTAGTAGATATTTATAAAACTTATATAATAATTGGGTATTTATCATGAGTAATACCTAGGTATTTATTAAATTATTTTAAATAATAAAATTGGTAGAAAATGGGAGTTCTTTTTTGTAGGGTACTGTGTATAGGGGGGGTACTGTGGCCCGCAAAATACGGTATTTAACAAATTTCCTGATTTATGAGAACTGAAAAAAAAAAATTAATAAAAGTAATAAAGCCTGTTATTTTGGACAGTTATTTGGTTATTTTGCCAATCACATGGTTCCAAGAAGATGAAAAAACATATCTTTAGATAATACCAGGTACACGGAAGAAAATATTACAAAATATTAAAATATTTTTAATAAACTATACACAAATATGTCAAATAACACTGGTTTAACGCAGAAAGAGGAAGTTAACAATTTTTAGAAAAAAAAGAAAGGTTTTATGAGGAATTCGTCAAAGCAGACCTGTCGAGTACATTTTATAAAGACATTTTTAGAGAACTTTTCAAAGTGAAGTCGCCAGAACAGTTTAAGTCGTTAGTTACAAATGTAATAAATGTATGGAATATTTTACTAGCAGAGATAATAAAAACCAACAAATGGCAAAATGTATACAACAGACTATATTATACTTTTATTATAAGGATGAGTTGACTTTTTGTTAAAAAAAATTTTGCGAAGTTCCTTGAACATTATTCTTCATCTATCCAAAGCGAGCGCAGCAATGATACGAAATCACGTGAGCTGGATGAGAAGATACGCAAATTGGAAACCGAGGTAGCCAACAAGGAATGAATAATATCGAAGAAAGATGAGGAGTTAATAAAGAAAGATCGATTTATAGTAACTCAATTAGAAAAATTAAAAATCTAATGAATAGCAAAAAGGATTTGGAAGCGGAGATTACAAAATTGGAAAATCGTAACAGGGAGTTAGAAGTTGATTTAACAGTTAAAGAACGAATGAGATTAGAAAAAGGAGAAGAGATAAAAATTATTTCTGGTAAATTGACAGAACTAGAGCAGAAAAAAGATACAGACTGACACGAGTTTATCGAACAAAAGAGGGAAAGATAACTAAAGTAAACAAAGAAAAAAATTTTTCAAAGGGCGTACAAGTTGGAAAAGATACACAAAATATCCTAAAATAAAGATCACTGAAGTGCCGGTCAACTGTATGTCATGCATTACATGGAGATTAGTTATACGGATAAAACACGTGGAATCACGTTTTACGATTTTTCTTGGTACTGGAAGGATGAAGTAATATATGAGATGATAGGAGAAGTAGCTACGTAGAAAAACTAACAATCAAACAAAGTTAGAAATACAAGATGGTAAAGGCCAAAATTTTCTTTACAAAAGATTATGAAGAAATTTATAAGTGAGGAGGATCGATATAATAATTATAAAAAATGACCGTGAGTATTTTTTCCGAAAGTTTGATTCGAAGTTGATGTTACAAGAAATCAATAAGAAATTTTGCTGGCAAGCGATTAAAAAAATAACGATAGATAATGGAGTGACTGATGGAAAGATAATCAAAGAACATATTAAGAAATACGATGGTCATTTCAGAAAAATAATTAGGATAAATAAAATCACAACGAGAATGACATGATGAACGCAGTATATAAAATCAATGGAGGATGAAATCGGAAAAGGGTTTCAACTGAAAGCAAAGATGAATTAATCATGAAGGATGGCACATTTGGGACCAGGAAGATCCAAAGGACGAAGCAAAATAATAAAGTCGTTGTCAACAATCCATCAGAGGATGAACAATTTTGTGAGGTAACGGGTTTCCCTGAACTCAATAGTTCATTTACCCATCCAGTACCCAAAAATCGTTTGATCTTAAAAAAAATTCAACACCTTCCCCGTAAACTCTTTAGCCATCTTCATCCTCCTTTATCACCTAAGCATAAATTGGCAAAAAATGTAAGAAAAACTGTCGGACGTAGACAACAATTGAAAATTGCTCATCGGAAAGAAGAAAGACGCTTACAACAAGAATTAATAGAGAAAGAAAACCATGATCGTAAGAAAGATCTGGCATACATCCAAGAGAAACGTGTCAAATGAGAAGCCAAAGAAAAAGCTGCTCGTGAACAACAAAAAGCTGGCACAGCACGCTGCTTTGCTAATGAACAAAAACAACAGGAAGCTAAATTACAATAACAAGCACAAAAAGCAACGCAACATACCCAACAAATGAATAACGATACACCTCAACACACTCCGTCAGTCAAAGATGTCGACAAAAACATTATCAATGATCCAGGACCTTCAACATCAACATTAACCACTTCATCATCTACATCCTCCATATCAACATCGCCCACTACACCTCAAATACTTTTTCCACAAGTATTTTAATAACGCCCGTTACTAACATCAGTGCCTTTACACACGTTAGCGATGTTTGTTCCAACATGCAATCCAAGTACGAATTTCACATCAACAAGAAAGATGCTAAATTTCTTTCACGCAACAATATTTTCATCAAGTGCTCTCTGCCACCAACGAATGACAGTGACAATGAGAGCACTAATAACCACAAACGCTCAAAAGCAAGGATCAATGATGAAACTGACACTCCTACCTCTGGCTCTAAGAGGCAGTATTTACAGACGGTATTTTTCAAAATGAAAGATCAATACAGGAGGGATAGTAATATCGTGAAATTATTTATACAGTCATGCCTAAATAGTTCGAGATTTGTTTTTAGGCGGGATGGTCTCACGCAACGCATGGGATTAGGTTTCAACTTTTAGAATGTTTAGTTTTATTGCTTTAATTTAAAGTGATTACTACATGGTGTTGTACCTTCACTGTCGTCATGCATGTTAAAATTAAAATATAATAATAATCAATATACCGATATATATTAAAATTCGATATGATGAATTAATGATAAAATTTTACTTCTCAAGAACATACAATATAAATATTATACGTCAAACAAATTTTTGTTGTTATCATTCAGCCCAATAGAATTTTTATAGATCAATATTTTTATTAGGTATAGCAAATATTTTTGCAGGAAAAGTTTAAATAAAGCTTATAAAATGGATTAAAAATATTAAAAATGAAATTTATAGAAAGCTTATTAATAATTAATGCATGATCAAAAACGTCAGAGCGATAACACACTTATTAGATGTGGGGCTATATCGGTTCTGTGACCGATATAGCTACTCCCTCATTCAATAACTATTCAATATAGTGAATTTTTATATTAAAACCTAAATGTTTAATAAAATGACCTTTTTTTTTTTTTTTTTTTTTTTTTTTTTTTTTTGGTAAAACGTATTTTATTACTTTATTAGTATATATAACGCATCATAATACAAAATAATTATAATATCAATACTTGAAATTCAATGTCTAAAGACAAGGAATCCCTTCATACCAAAGCCATGGGTTATCTAACCAAGGCGCGAATAAACATAACCAATGAATTTCAAAACTATACTGCTATACTGTTACATTTTATACTATCACTATCTTGTATTTAACTAATCTAATCGTAAAATTTTGTTAAAGCTATCGTTAATTGGTTGTATGCGACTAGTGAATTTGTTAAATCACGTACTAACAAAAGCAAATTATAAAATAAATATACTATTATGATGCTAATCTAGATCTACCTATTCTAAATACGTTACCTTACTTGCGATTTTATATATGTTTTTAGTCTTTTTTATCTATTTTACTATATTTTTTATTAATTTTTCCTTTATTTTTATTTATAGAACTTTCTCTTTTTCCATAAATCTCATGAATTATCTCCATTGTTTGTTCATTCTTAACAAAGCGGAATGCGTATATTCGTCACGTTGTTGTTCCCACTCCATCCGAGAATCATATGTTCTTGAATCTCTATACCGATTGTTCGTTCCCCTATTATATTCTTGTCTAGACGGTCTTGAGGCCCTGTTCCAATTATTCGTCCCTCGTGAATATTCTCGTATATATCTATTATCATCGATAAAATCATTTAGTCTTCTTCTCCACGGCGGTCTTCTATTCAATTCTTGTATATCGCCATTTTCGTCTATACAATCATTCTCTTTCTTAAGTAAAAATTCCTGTCCTATATTGTAAACTTTCATCGATTCCGTAATCGCGTTCAGCAATTCCTTTTCCTTATTAAAATATAAAATTAAAAACCGTATTCCTTTAACTCTAATGATTTTTCCAAAAAAACCACGGTATGTCTTCACAAAGTCTTTGATTATATTAACATCATCATATTGAGTTTCACTATCTGTTATTCGTTTAACAGCTTGCCAACGGAATTTATGTTTAATCTCAGCGTATTGTAAGCATGAATCAAACATTCGTATAAAATAAGTACGATTTTTCCTTGGTAAAGACACGTTAACGCCACCCTCTTTGTATATCTTTTCGTACTCTTTGCTGAAGCGCAGCATTGTCTTAACGGTCTTGTACTTATGACATCGTTTAGTCCACATATACTCAACGTGACCCACATTGTCGTTCAATAGATCAAAAATCTCCTTGTCAGTCCAATACGCTGGTATATCATAAAATGTAATATCACGTGACCTTTCAGCATAATATTTATCCAGATAATCTTTATCATTATTATCTCCGATCGTTCCCAAATCGATTTCGTTGATCGTCCCATTTCTGATATGATTAGCGCGCGCCCGTTTCCTTTTTTTGTTTGGGCGTTTTTTCTTTTTCAAATTACTCGTTGGCTGTTCCTCCAAATCCATATTTGTCGAATTACTCGTTGGCAGTTCCTCTTTTTCTTCTAATACTTTTATTTTTTCCCATAAAATATTATTTGCTTCATTTTTCTCCAATATAATTCGTTCCTTTGCTATTACATCAGCTTCTAAATTTCGAATTCGATTTTCCAGATCTGCAATCAATAGTCCACTTGTTAGATCACTATCGCCCACTCTTTTTTCCAATTTTTCAAAATTATCCAAAATTTCTGCGTTCTCCTTTTTGATTTGTTCATAATTAAGCGCAGCAACTCTCGCACGATATATTATTCCTTCTAAGAGTAAATTTAATCCCTGTCCTGCCCGTTTTATTAGGAATAAAGATATAAAATAATATACTGCAAGTACTTTCGTCGTTGGTTTGTTGAGGCGTGTTGGTATTTTTCCTGGTTTTGAAAGAGGGTCCGGTCCCATAAGCTTTCTTTCTACCTCTGTATACTCTTCTATTTTTTTACACTCTACAATCTTTACTAAATATTCGTCGTAAATATCATGAAAATATTCGAAAAATGCTTTAATATATTTCTTTTTGTTGTCGTTAACCCACGTCATCACCTCTTCATCTTTTACTTCCACTGTTGGTTCCATATTATATAGCTTCGTCAGTAAAAATAAAAATTATTTCTTCCAAAAAATTTGGTTTAAGAGATCGACGGGGAAAGTTTCGTTCTCGCATCCTAATAAAATGACCTTTGTTATAGTGAAGATTTTCACTATAACGAATTTTTAAAGTTAGATCATAATAAATTTTTATCACATGATACATATGATATTTGTCATATGCAAAATTTTTACAATGTTAAAAATTCATATTTTAATGAGTTAGACTTTTATCAAAGAAGAATGTCAGATTTTTTTTGCTATATCAATTTGTTCTATTTTTTAGTCAATTAAAATATATGTAAGTCACGTGATTATAATAAATTTTGGTATAGTGGATATAGTGAAAATTTTATCTTTATTTGCTATTTGCTATAGTGAGTTCCCCCACTATAAAAGAGAACCATTTTAAAAAAAAATAAATAAAGATACCATTTATTGGAAATGAATAACAAAAGAAATCAAGTAACAAATTAAAAAAAATGGTTCCTAAAAACTGCAAACGAATTAATAAATAAATAAATAAAAACGATCAATTCAAATATAAATATTAGTAATCAACGAAAAATAGCATTAAGCTATGAATTTTTGATCGAATCACTTTTAACTATGCTGAACGCAACAAAATCCTTTACTACCAGGTCAGGCGCAGACGCAATATGTTACACAATTCAAAATTAGGGTAAGTCTAAACGTGACAGTCGTGACATTGAATATATAGAAGTATATTTTTTTACATAAAATAAAAAAGATATACTGTACCTGGCCAAAAAAAATAAAATTAAAAATTTTCGAACTAGAAATAATTTTTTCTTAAATAATAAGTATAATCAATACTTATTTTAATGTTGTTCTTTTTATTTAATATTAATACTAATAAAAAAAAATTCATTTACAACGTTGTCACCATACCTATTTTATGTGAAAATAAGTATATAAAGCATCAGTTTTCCTATAATTTATCTTATTCAATATGGTAAAGTTTATTTTTTACTCACATTATAATTCCAACTATGAAATTATGATATAAATAAATAAAAATCTTTCTATCTCTTCAAGTCTTGTATACATTGGTCCTGGAAGACCTCAACCTGTTCCAAATTATTGATGAGTTGTTACTGCTTTTGTAACTCTTTCTGCAGCTGTTGAAGTTGCAATTATTGTTCGATTATCACTAAATTAATATTATATAATATATACAGTATACCGAAATTTCATCATGCAACATTGCAACATGGTACAACTAGTAATGGACTAAATAATTATTAAGAATCTTACAACTTTGTGTACTTACATTAAAAACAGAAATACAAAGTTATACTAAAAATTTAAATAAATCATAATAATACTAAGAAACGCTAATTGTGAGCTGACGATCACGTTAGTGAGCAGAGATACACCCAGATTACATTATCTTCGCTTTGTGTTAGAAATTAGACACGCAAACACACCACTCACACCACTCGCACTTAATTTTTGAAAAAAAAAATCAAGTTAGAATTTTTGGCTTTATTATTATTTTCTTTCTTTTTTTTTTTTACTAAAGTACTTTAAGTATAGAAATTAAATATGAAAAAATAATTATTTCTTAACAAAGGTCAATAAGAAGAACCATCTTAGAAATGACAAAAACTCATAAGATTAAATGATTGATAATGGAAAAAAAAAATACAAATAATGATAAAAAGGGAGGAAGGGAAGGATGAAAGAGAGGAAAGGGTTTTTTCTTACGAAACTTTATTTTTTTTTATTTTATTATGTGGTGCTTGTAACAGAATGCTGAAATTATTTGATCTAAATTAACTTGTTGTTTTTTGAGAAGATACTTTCTTTGGTTGTTTCATTTACTTAGGTCTAAAAAAAAGCAATATCATCATCATCTCTTCTATTGTCTTCATTCTAATTTCATAAACATCTCAAATATTTAATAACAACTTGATTTCATTTCCTTGCCAGATAGAAGGTATGGTAGTACTAAATGTTGTTATATATATTGTATATTAAACAAATTTGGTTAACGATCGTAATGTTATACTACAGAAACGCATAGGTACTGAGATATAACAAGATCGTCACAAGGTAACTGTATATATGATATCATACGTTACACAATTCAAGTTATCAGTTATACAAATTTTTTTTTAATCAGCATATGTTCAGGTGACATCTGAAAGCGACCGCGTGAACGATGACGGTTAAACATCTAGAAGAGTTTGAGGAACGCACGTTTAGAGATATACAATTTTATTAAGAAAACTTCAAGAATATGACGGTCATCATCTTTGTATGATACGGAACAAAGTTTTTAACCGTACGTATAAGAATACTCAAATATGTGAGGACGCAAGGCGAACTTTTAAAATTCGATTAATAATTTTAAATAATAAATTGATAAATGTTTTTGCTTAATTACGTAAATCTCAATTTTTACATTTGTCAAAAATTAATATGCTACAAAAATAGACTAATACAATTAGATTTTAATTGTGTAACGTATAATATTATGTATACATTACATGTGACGATCTTGCGTTGTAGTTTATTATTACGCCATATTTCCTTTTTAACCAAATTTAGCGTCTTTCTTCACGCCATTTAAATTGAAGAGTTTGCTCAAAAATTAATATTCTATGGAATATCTTACAAAAAATTCTCTAGACCTAGACAGTGGAAAGGAAATTATTGCAAAAAATTTTGCAAATTGGACTAGTGGGAATGAAATATTTGATAACCTCATTCAAGAAAAGCAATTAAAGTACAATGGATTTGGCGTAGTATTTGAATGGATACCGTATAGTGAACTTATTGATATTAAAAAAATAGGAAATAATGGTTTAGCCACAGCAATATGGAAAGAAGGTTCATTGCATTATTGTGTAAATGAATGGATAAGAATATCGTATGAAAAGGTTGTATTGAAGTTTTTATATGACTCTCAAAATATTTCTGACGAATTTATAAATAAGGTATTAAATCTTTCTATGAATTTTAATTAGAATTTTGTTATATACATGTATGTTAAATTTTTTTTTTTGTATTTTTGTAGACCAGATCATATACTGATAAAAAATATGGATTATCTCAAAATCCAGACACAAGTGATTATATTTTTGTATTTCCTCAAAATTATCTTGAACGACTGTGTTGTGAAAAATGTGGTAAAGAATGTGTAAGTATACGAGATAAATGGTGTAAAGCATGTCAAATAAAAAATAATTTTACAAACTGGACAAGTGGAAATGAAAAAATTGATGATTTTATTCAAAAAATGCAATTAAAAATTAATTACTCTAATGATTCTCTATTTGAATGGATACCATATAATGAGTTCATCAATGTTAAAGGAGTAGGAGATGATTGTTTGAATACAGCAATGTGGAAGGATGGTCCATTATATTATGACACTAATAAAAAAGAATGGGTAAAAGAAGCATATGAAAAAGTTTGTTTAAAATATCTACATAACTTGCAAGATATTACTGACGAAGTTATCAATAAGGTATAAATAATTTGTAATTGATTAAAATATTAATACAATATTGATTTATTTTATTTTGATATTGTGATAGATTAAATCATATTTACTTGGTCATTATGGTTGTCCAAGTTATGGAATATCTCAAAATCCAGATACAAAAGATTATATATTGGTTTTTAAAATTGAATATATTAAATTGTATTGTAAAAAATGTGGTAATAAATATGGAAGTGAACGGGATAAATGGTGTAAACCATGTCATATAAATTACCTAAAAACTAATTTTACAAACCGAACTAGTGGAAATGAAAAAATTGATGGCCTCATTCAAGAAATGCGATTAAAAATTAATAAACCTGATGATACTGTATATGAATGGATACCATATAATGAGTTTATCAATGTTAAAGAAATAGGTGATAGTTTGACTACAACGATATGGAGGGATGGTCCATTATATTATGACACTGATAGAAGAGAATGGACAAGAGAATCATATGTAAAAGTTTGTTTAAATTATCTACATAACTTGCAAGATTTTACCGATGAAGTTATCAATAAGGTATAAATAATCTGTTAACTGATTAAAGTATTAGTACAATATTGATCTTTTTCATTTTGATATTTTTGTTAGATTAAATCATATTTACTTGGTTATTATGATTGTCCAAGTTATGGAATATCTCAAAATCCAGACACAAAAGATTATATTTTAGTTGTTAAAGCTAATTATATTAAACTTTATTGTAAAAAATGTGGTAATAAATATAAAAGTACCATATTGGATAAATGGTGTAAATCATGTATGAATTGCCTAAAAAATGATTTTATAAGCCGGACTAGTGGAAATGAAAAAATTGATGACTTCATACAAAAGATGCGATTAAAACCTGAGAATCCTGTATTTGAATGGATACCATATAATGAGTTTATTAATGTTAAAGAAATAGAAGATAATTGCTTGGCTACAGTAGTATGTAAGGAAGGTCCATTTTACTATGACACTAGTGAGGCAAAATGGATAAGAATATCATACAAAATAGTTTGTTTAAGATATTTGCATAACTCGCGAGATACTACTGATGAAGTTATCAATAAGGTAAAATAATCTGTCAATTGATTAAAACATTAATGCAATATTGATCTTTTTTTTATTTTGATATTTGATAGATTGAGTCATACTTAATTAATGGCTATATAGAATATTATGGAATGTCTCAAAATCCGGACACAAAAGATTATATTTTGGTTTTTTCCAAAAATTATCTTAAACAATATTGTAAAAAATGTGGTAATAAATATGAAAGAGGACTGTGTAATCTATGTTTAAAAGATAATTTTAATAAGTGGACTGGAAATGAAAAAATTGATAATTTTATTCAAAAGATGCAATTAAAAGTTAATGAATCTTATGGTTTTCTATTTGAATGGATACCATATGATAGATTTGTTGATATTAGAGAAATAAGAATAGATAACTTTGCCATTGCAATATGGAATGATGGTCCATTATATAATAGAAAAAGAAAATCAAATGAAAAGATACTTTTAAAATATCTACATAACTCTCAAAATATTAATAATGAATTTTTAAATAAGGTATGAGTTTTCTATTAGTTTAGTTTAATTATTAACAACTATTAATATAACAATTCATTATATTTAACAGATTACATATTTAATGGAAAATAGTTATGGAATATCTCAAAATCCAAATACAAAAGATTATATTTTAGTTTATAAAGTTGGATATCACTGTGAAAACTGTGGTGAAAAATATAATTACAAATTTGAAATAGATAATAAAAGCTGTATGTCATGTCAAACAAATCATGAAAATAGCAAAATTAATAATTTAATTCAAGAGATGAAATTAAATATTGATCATAACTCTATTCACTCTAGTATTATATTTGAATGGATACCATATAATCAGTTTAAAGATGTTGAAGAAATAGGTAAAGGTGGTTTTTCTACAATATATTCAGCAATATGGAAAAATGGTTTATTATATTATAGTAAAGAAAGTTGGGAAAGAAAATCGAATACAAGAGTTGCTTTAAAATGTTTACACAATTCACAAAATTTTATTGATGAATTTATAAATGAGGTAATAATTTCTTTATAATTTTTTAGCAAAATAATTTATACACATTTGTTGACTAATATTATTTAATAGGTTAAAGCATATCCGAATCAAAATATAAAAAATATCCTTAAAATATATGGAATATCTCAAAATCCAAATACGAAAGATTACATTATGGTTCTTGAATATGCAGAAGGTGGAAATTTTAATAATTATTTAGATAAAAACTATGAAAATTTTGATTGGTTTAATGGATTAAAAGTATTAACTAATATTATTAAGGGTCTTAGTGAAATTCATCAAAAACAGATGGTTCATCGGGATTTTCATGTAGGAAATATATTATTTATTAAAACTTTAACATACTCATATTCTTACGATCCTCACAAATATGATGCATGTATTTCTGATATGGGATTATGTAAAAAAATTGATGATATTAATGATACAAGTATTTATGGAGTTATGCCTTATGTAGCTCCTGAAGTGTTAAGAGGAAAAACTTATACTCAAGCAGCAGATGTATATAGCTTTGGTATGATTATGTATGTTGTAGCAACTGGACAACAACCTTTTATTGATTGTGCTCATGATGGAGTTTTAGCACTAAGTATATATAACGAGATTAGACCTGAAATAAATGAAAAAATTATACCAAAATGTTATGTTGATTTAATGAAAAGATGTTGGGATTCAAATCCAGACAATAGACCAAATTCTATTGAAATAAATGAATTGATTAATCTATTTTATTATTCGTTAGATCAACAATTTGAAAAAAAAGTACAGCAACATTATGAAATTGAAAAGCAATTTAATGAGACACAAAGATATAGAAGAAAAAATATTTTATCAATTAAAAATAACCAATTAATTACTCACACACAAGCTATATATACATCTCGATTACTTAACCCTTATACAAATAATCTTTCGAAATATGATACCGTAGAAATTACTGATTTTATAAAGTTGCATTTTTATATTATGTTACCTTTTCTTTTTTGTTCATTTCTCATTCCTATTTTACATTATAGTTTATGAGCTTTAATCATTTTACAAATGAATGATTTAAAATTACAAATGTAAATTATTTTAACTAAGCTTATAGCATATCTTGACAGTTTATCGACCAAAACTTATTAAGCTTGATTTTCCATAAATATTTTATGATATTATTTTATTTACAAGATTAAATTCAGAATATATAAATATTGGTTTGATTTTTCTTTTATTGATTTTTGGATCGAAGTTTGTGTTTTTTTGGAACCTTTTTATATTTACTTCTTATTTATTAGAAATATATCGTATTGATATAATTACTGTATTAGTGTAAATAATACATTAATTAGTTAAATAAAAATAGGTTGTTTATTTTATTTATTTTGCATTTGTTTATAATTTTTATTTTGAAATACAGTACCTTAAAATATTTCTGGCATGAAACATGAAATAATCTTATTTATCGAATTATTTATGGTACGAATTATTTATGGAAAAAGACGAAAAAGTATAATCAAATCATAATGATAAATAATGATACTCCCCAGAATTTCGTAAAGATGTTAGAATTTAGATTCTTCAAAAAAAAAAAAACTTTCATTACGGAATTAAAGAATCCATTTATGATGAATATTTTATGAAGTTGAGAAAATTTACTGAAAATCGTATCCTGGTATAGTTACATAATATTTTTATATATATTTTATAAAATAAGGCTTTGGAATATTAATTTATTGAGTGTTATTATGCCTCAAGTGTCGATTCGCGTCAGGTGATAACCGTGATAACCGACATGCGTCAGATATAATTGATTGAATCGTTAAATTTTCTCTCAGTAAATTTTTGTTATTAAATAAATTTATTTATCACATTACAATCCTAAATAACAGGTAAATAACAAGTAATTTCATTAATAAAAAAAAGTGTCTATTATGGAAGACTTGATTGTGCGACACAGGTTGACGCGCGTCAAATATCAATCAACACCTGACGGAAACCCAAAAGATCAATGTCCAAAACTATTTTATAATTCTGGCCAAATTTTTAGTTCTGGCCAGAATCATATATCACATGACATCGGATAAAGTTTAGCCACGCCGCCACGGGAAAGAATGTTACACAGAAATTTTCATGCCTGCGATGAAATTTTGTGTTACACAAATTTATAATGCGGGTCAAAATGAATAATGCTGGCCAGAAAATTTCGGCGACTTTCGGCTGGAGTTTCGTTTTGGAATGATTGGCCGAAGGCCGAATATTCCGAAATTGCCGAGTTTAGTGCGTCAGTCGCAAATTAAACATTATTTACATAATGTGATCTATATTAGCAATTTTAGATTATTTCAACCTGTAAACTCATTTTTTAAAAAAGAAAAAATATTTATTATGTTATACTATCTATAACTCCCGTATGATCATGTGGGAATTTACGATGAGGATCCATTAGAAGTTTTAAATATTATCCAAAAATGTATTTGCCATCCTCAATGTTATAGTGATAAGATTGCTGAAGAATTAAAAAGCAATATCATTATGGAATTTATAGATTCTTAATTTCTTATTCACAAGTATATAATAAAAGTGACTAATAAAGAGTTAATCAGGAAGAAGTGAATACTTGGATTGTAATATGATTGATAATTTCAAGTGTGTACAAAGCCAAATAATTTTATGTAATTATTTTATATAAATTAATTTTTACCATCACTAGACAGTCAAAACAAAAAAAATGCCACTAGGAGTCTACCATATAGTCACATCACTCACATAATAGTCACATGGTAGTATCGTTAAGGTTGCTAAATCAGAGGTTTCAGCAAAAGTAATACACAATACTAAATTGAAGCATTTATTGACACGGAATCAAATATTAGTTAAATAATGAAATATATGTATTTTCTGTTCCTCTCAGAAAATAAAAAAATTTCATATTTTACTATAAATTGCATTTGTGATATCGAAAAAACTGACCGCCATTCTTTTCGCTGGGGTCTGTATTAAAGAATTGATTTATATCTATCAAAAAATAAAAACATTTTATTTTTTAGCCAGATGGAAAAACCATCAACCAGTCTGGCAAAATTTCTTTTTAATTTTTCTTTTGATTAATTAGTTTATTTATCATATTAAAGAAAAAAAATACTTATCTAATTTAAAAAATGATATAAAAAAATTATTTTCAGCCAGATAGATTGATATATCAAAAACCATTAACCTGTCTGGCTGAAATCTTTTTTTTTTTTTGCTAATATGATTTTTTTTAAGAATGAAAAAATTTTTAAATTAAAAACATCAAAATTGACATTGCTTAATCCAAATATCCATCTTTCGATTGCCTGATATATGTGGATTTGACTACATCACATACTACACGGTTCATTTTGGTTAAGAAGTAGAGAGTAAAAAACTCTAATAATTTATTTACAAAGTCAATAGCAAAAAAAAAAAATTATTACAAACCAATTAAGATTTGACCAATTTTGCTATTATTCATTAAAAAAAAATATTATTATAATTATAATTAAGAAGAAAGATACAACTGAAGAACAATTGCATAATTTGTAAAAAATGGATAGTAAAAATATTTGATATAAAACCAATCAGAATTTGAACTAATTTTGCTAAATAATTCATTATCAAAGAAAAAAACTTTGAGAAATAATTTTTTAGTATTTATTTCTAAGTTACATTATTGTTGATTAATTTTTATATATTATTATTTCTTTATTAAATGTTTGAAGACATTTCCTAATGTTTAAATCAAATAAATGGATTTTAATCAATAAATATATTAAGTCTTTTTTTAAAAATCCAATGTAAGTTTTCAATAATAAATTTTTAATTAAATTGTAAATAATCAAAATGTTTAGGACTTCATTAATAATTTATTTCTCATCCGGAATTTAATATATATATAATGACGTCATACCGATCATTTTTCACATAATTTTGATGAAATTTTTTTTTAAAAAAATAAAACTTAATATAAGCTTTGTATAGCCTTTAAAATTGTAAATTATAAGTCATTTTGACAAATTTAATTAATACCTTAAGAAAGGTTATAAATACCATTTTTGACATTTTTGATAATTTACGACTTGGAGGGTGAGGAATATCGGATCTTCACCCAGGGAGGAACAAATTCCACTCTAATATATAAGTAGAGTAATGGAATTTCCTTTACTCGCTCATATTTAACTTAATGTTTTTTTTACTATTTTTTAAAGTGTTATTAACTTGAAACATTTTAATTGAATAATAGATTTGTTTATTTTGGCATTTCTTTTATGAATAATTTTTGTATAAATTTAATAAATTTTATCATTAAAAAAGCACGAAGATATTATATTCGAAAAAATGTATATATGAATTTTTTGGTAAATGTCACGTGATCCTGAATGATTGACAAATTTCTCATAAAAACGTGACTTAGTAAACCTACATCTATAAAATGTTGAACTCCTTTTTTTTGTAAAAAAATCGAATGGATAAATTTTCCAATTTATATTCTAGAATTTTTTTACAAACGTCGTAACAAATAGACAAAATTCAGTATTTATCATAGAAGAATCTTTCAATTCTAAATTATAATAAATAATTTGAAGTTTAAATTCAAAAGTTAAACAAAATACCTAATTTATTTTATTTTCCAATTTTGTACTTATTTTGAACATTATACATGTAATGCAAAAATTATAACCTAATGATGCTGTGCTACATAGAATTAGGTTTGTTGTAGCATGTGATACAAATTTGTTGATCAAAAGGCGGCGGTACACGAAAGTGACGAAACTCCGTTCTGAAACCCTTCTTTCCAACAAAATTAAAAGTAATATTTTGTTATGTCTGTTATACGAGTTGAGTTAATTAATGTGACAATCAATAGAGCGATTACATTAATAGATTATAATATTCATAATGATATAGACAAACAACATGAATTTATACAACAAACGGTTCTTGCTGATAAATCTTTCACAATGATGAAAAAAATGAAGCAATAAAAAGTACTGATAAAAATAAAGTTTTTTTTAATAAAGGGATAAGAAGAATTTGTGAAAATTGTAACCAAGAATGTTTAGCTATATCATATTGTGAATATTGTGTTCGAAATTATTTAAAATTAAATTTTTTAAATTGGACATCTGGAAATAATGATATTGATAATTTAATACAAAAATGTCAAATGGAAACAATTGAACCAGAAAAAATAATTGAATGGATTCCATATGATAATTTGCAAAATATTAAATATCTAACAAAAGGTGGATTCTCAGAAATTTACACAGCAGTTTGGGATGATGGAAGATATGATGAATGGGATACTATGAAGCAGCAATTAACAAGATTAGAAAATCAAAAAGTAAAACTTAAAAGATTAGAAAATGTTGAAAGTGCAGATCAAAGTTGGTTTGAAGAGGTTTGTAACCTAATGAATCAGTAATTGATAATTATCTTATTAGTGATAAATTAACTAATGTTCTTTTTTTTTTAGGCAAATTCACATTTTACTATAAGCAATAAACATCCAAATATTGTCCAATGTTTTGGCTTAACGCAAGATCCATCAAATGGAAATTACATGCTTGTAATGAATATAGCAGATTTGAATTTAAGAGAATATTTACAGCGAAACTATAATCAACTTACATGGAAAAGAAAAATACAATTTGCTTATAACATACTAACTACTGCACTCAAAGATATTCATGATGAAAATGCAATTCATAGAGATTTACATTCTGGTAATATATTATTCAAAGAAATTAATCAAAAATTTGTTATTAGTGATCTTGGATTTTGTGGTCCTGCAGACAAATCATCAAAAAGTATATATGGAAATCTTCCTTATATAGCACCTGAGGTTATTTCTGGAAAAGAATATACTTTTAAATCTGATATTTACAGTATTGCAATGCTTATTGTGGGAAATTTCATCTGGAAAACCACCTTTTAATAATTATGAACATGATTATTATCTTGCAATGAATATAATTAATGGTATAAGACCAAGAATAGTATCAGGAACTCCTTTAGAATACAAAAATTTAATGAAACAATGTTGGGA